AGTATAGCTGATTAAAACCTCTTATTTTAGGTATATTCTAACATGGTGTTATCCACTTAACCCAGATCATGCCTCTTAATATAACAGGTGAATTTAACATAGGTGGTATAAAGACTGTGATTGCATTCATAGTAGTTCCTTTTATGGGGAAAAAAGAATGTTGTTCCTCTTAGATGCTAGGAACTAGGGTGACAACCTTCTGTTAAATCATAAAATTTAAACATGGCATGTTCTAAATTAATGTGTTTATAAACTAAGCTGTCAGCTTTAACAGTCTCATTTTCCCCAAAAATCTCAGCCATCTAGCACCCTAAAACATGAAACCTCGGAAGCCCAAGTAAATAGAGAGTACAATCATTCCCACGTAACAGTGAAAAACACTACCTATTTATTACCGATTGGAGGCATACACACTGATCAGTTCTTGTTCTCATTATTTCAGTTAATGTCTTCATTATCTGGCAAGTTATCACTGAATGTGCACTGTACTTCCACTGTCCTATAATAATAATGACTCCAAGTGAACATGACAGATCTATAAGGATTTAATACTGTCTTCAACTGTACACTTTTTTCATGCCTTTTTTTTAACAGCAGTAGCATACTAATATATTCTAACTTGGATGGTATTTGTGGTGGATTTCTTTGAAAAGTCAATAAAAGGGGAGGAATAAATTACTGTTGTCAGTGTCTGTAGTCTCTAGATTGCTATCTCTTCCCCTGTGTGATAAACTTTCAGATATTAATAGTATAAATTTTCAGATGCCCGGTTTATTGGCTGTACCTCAACAGCAGATTTATTTTTTTTCAAGATTCTGTATATTTTCTCAAAGTTGGTCCCTTTTGGGGTGACAGAAATTAGAAATCTAGAAATTATTTTTAGCTGTTGTTAAAAATATAGACTTAAGTTACCAGGTAATACTGGGCTTCCAGAAGAGAAATTTCTTGACGTTTTGCGAAGAAATAATGGAAAGGATTTAAAACTGTTATTGAGAAGGTGTGACTGAAAACGTAGATTATTGAGCAAGCTATATTGTTTTAATAACTATGGATGCTAAAACTCCAGGATTGTCTCTGTTGTATCACTTTTTTTCAGACATGACTCGTTATTCTAAATGACTTATTTGCAAGTTCAAATAACTGATTTGAAAGTGAGTTGTGGCTAACCACGTATTGCTTGAAAAGAGCCATCTTAAACCTTTCTAGCAAACTCTAACTTGCAAATTTTCTGGGAACGGCCTTGTGGAGAGCTTTTATCTTGGTCCTGTTAGAACAAAGAAGGGCAGGTGCTTGCAAAGCAGCAGTATGTCTTTTGACACTGGTACTTGCTGACAGAACAGTGCCTAAGGGTCTCAGGGAGCAGAGTTTTTGCTTTCTTACTGGCAAGTATGACACTACATAGAAGGTCTGTATCTGCCAAGGAGCTTATTCTCATGCGCATTGAATGCAGGAATATGTCTCCCAAAACTCTCCAGAAAGTGTTGTGTTCTTTGGTCTTCTAGGAGAAGGGAGTAGGCCTGCCCTGGCAAATGCCAAGTGTATAGGCAGACCTCTGTGTAGAAGTTTAAAAACTTTAAAATACGAAAAAGTTACCTGGCTTGTTACTAGTTCCCAGTCTTCACCAGGATGATGGTAGCATACTAAGAGTCAGTTCTTACAGAGTTCACCAATGTTCTTACTTGGATTGCATTTTGACAAGTGCTTCCACTAAAGCTGCAGCCGACAGCAATACAGTGGGGCCAAGAGAATCAACTCATGATTTATTAAAGTGCACACATATTTTCTTGTCTAAATATCCAGCTGTTAGTGCAGTGCAATTCTTTTTGTTGAAAGCATGTTATGTTTTTTTACACTTTCTGATCTTCTACTCTGATTTTTTTTTATTATTCTGTCCTTTATAATTTAAAACCACGTATGCTGATGAGCATTGTGATCTACCGTGCAAGATGACTGCACTTTCTTATCTTTGATTACCACTTTTAAAACTAATTCTTTAGCCGTAACTAAAAGCTAGACAGATAAACTAAAACTTCCTTTTGTTAAACTTGTAGTTTGATTCTATTGTGTGTTTTGACTAGATCTTAAAATTGTCTTTTGATGTGACTTTTGCTCCGCAACCTTTGTTAACCAAAGTGGTTAACAACATAAAACTTCTAGAGCGGTCTAAGGATGACAGCATTTTGGTTCAAACAGCCCTATGGCTATAATTAGAACATCAGAAACCATGATTCTATGTAAAAGCAAAATCGTTAAGCATAAAACCTTCTCTCCTTAACAGTTTTGTAAGGGAGAACTGAACAAAAAAAAAAGAAGTGTGGCTTTTGGCTTGAGGGCAGCGAAGGGTCTGCCATCAAGCCAAAAAGGTTCTAGAAGTAGGAGGCAGTTGAACTGAAAATGACTTAACAGAACTAGTTGGTAAGTTGCAAGAACAAAACTTTGCTTAAATTCTTCAGTGGAAAACTGTGTTATTTCACAGATGGCCACCAAGTTTACTCTCAGTTTTTCACCTTTGACATTTCTTAGGCAAGTGTGGTGTTGACCTTTGCTGGACACCAGGTGCCCTCCAAAGCTGCTCTATCACTCCCCTCCTCAGCTGGGCAGGGGAGAGCAAATGTAACCGAAGGCTTGTGGGTTGAGATAAAGACAGGGAGCTATCATTCAGCAACTACCATCACAGGCAAAACAGACTCGAGTTGGGGAAAAATTAATTTAATTTATTACCAATCAAATCAGAGTAGGATAATGAGAAAATAAAAACTAATCTTAAAACACCTTCCCCCTACCCCTTCCATCCTCCCAGGCTCAACTTAACTCCTGAGTTCTCCGCTTCCTCCCGTGCAGCAGTGCAGGGGGATGGGGCATGGGGGTTGTGGTCAGTTCATCACACCTTGTCTCTGCCGCTCCTTCCCCCTCAGGGGGAGGACTCCTCTCCCTCTTCCCCTGCTCCAGCCTGGGGTCCCTCCCACGGGAGACAGTCCTCCATGAGCTTCTCCAACGTGAGTCCTTCCCACGGGCTGCAGTTCTTCATGAACTGCTCCAGCCTGGGTCCCTTCCACGGGGTGCCATCCTTCAGGAACAGCCTGCTCCAGCCTGGGTCTCCCGCCAGGGTCACAAGTCCTGCCAGCAAACCTGCTCCAGCCTGGGCTCCTCTCTCCATGGGTCCTGCCAGGAGCCTGCTCCAGCACGGGCTGCCCACGGGGTCACGGCCTCCTTCGGGCATCACTTGCTCTAGTGTGGGCTCCTCCCTGGGTGCGGGTGGAGATCTGCTCCAGCGTGGAACTCCATGGCTGCAGGGGGACAGCCAGCCTCACCATGGTTTTCACCAGGGGCTGCCAGGGACCCTCTGCTCCGGTGCCTGGAGCACCTCCTGCCCCTCCTTCTTTACTGTGTGCACAGCTGTTTCTCTCACATGTTCTCATTCCTCTCTTTCAGTTGCTGTTGCACAGCAGTTTTTTTGCCATTCTTAAATGGTGCTACCACCATTGTTTATTGGCTCAGCCTTGGCCAGTGGCAGGGGACTGGCACTGGCTCTGGGGAAGCCACTCCTGTAGCTCCGCACTACCAAAACCTTGCCTCGCAAACCCAATACACGTTACTCAGAAGGTGAGAATAAACAAGTCTCCCTTTGACCTGTATCAGTCAAAAGTAGCTTCTCAGATCCCTTGCAGTAAAATACCTCAAATGGTCTAGGTAGTTTTGCAGTCGCATGTTTCTGCTAACAGCATCTACACTTCTTACATGTTGTTATGCCTGTCCAAAAACTCCTTTTTTCAATCTCCTAGATAACTTTTTTTTTTTGGGGTGGTCAGCTCAAAACATGGAAAAATTTTTCATGCCTGTGCAAATTTACTTCTAAAGTCTTAAATAAAATAGTCTTTGCAGTGCCTCAGCATCCTGCAAAAAAACCCAAAACCAATCTTGGAACTTAATCTCCATAAAAGAGCTAGCTAATGGTTCATCATGGTATCACTTAAAGTTTCTGTTGACACAAACCCTTAAAGGTCAGTTTCTTTGAAAGCATTCTCCCAGACAGTGCTAGTGCATACCTGAACTGCCTCTACTTTTGTGCTGTATGTGAGCAAAACACCTTCCTCATAGGACTGTGCCCACCTCACAGCACACGTCTCCTCATGCTGCTGGGACAACGCCCCATTAGAACCTTCTGCAGGCAGCAGGAGGAAGCTGCAAAGGAAAGCTCTTCATCAGGGTCTGATGGTCAGGAAATACCTTCCTCTTCTGAATAATGCTTTTAAGAGAGGACTTTTATTCCATTTGTTTACTTACAGTCATGGTTTTCAGCTACCCAGCAACTAGCCTTTCTAATAGCATCTTACGTAGTATTTTTTCCCCCTTAATACCTTTTCATGGATGAGAATTCTTCATCTAATCCACATTTCCATAGTAGTACCTTCCTTGTAAAATGGCATAAAAGGGTGCACAATATTGTCCAGAGGACTTCAGGAGAACAATAGGTTACCTTTGTCCCAGCTCTTGAGATAGACTTACTGCATCATCCTGTTTAAAGTACACTGTTTCCTTACAATAGAAACAAACTCAGCAACTGTACCTTAGACCTGTAAAAGTGCCTGATACTACATCAAAATGAATAACACTGATTCTAAGTATTCATGTAAACCTAGCATAGGTGTAGACTAGCTATTAAAACAGGAAGAATTATATCAAGTACGTTATTTTAATAAGCCACAACGACAAATATACAAATACCTATTTGTAGAGGAAACAGTCTTTAGTGCTTAAGTGCAAGGAACAAGGAAGAGTATTTCACAGTTCCCCCACAGCTGTCCTGTGGATAGCCAGAGTACAACTGTACTTCTGACAGCAGATAATAGCTGGTTAACATCCAGGATAAAAATAAATACAGTCTTGATGAGTTTCACTGCAGTAATCTGGAAGTAAGGACACACCTTAAGAGATTGAAAATCTTGTCTTATAACTTGATTTGATAACTCCGTGTTCAACCTCCGTACTCCGTGTTCAACCTTCTGCATGCCTAGTATCTGGAAGGTTAAAAGCAGTTATGAAGACTTCCTAAATTTGAGGACAGTAAGCATCTCTTGTCCTGCTTGCCTGGAAAGTACTCGTGTGCCTTCTAAGCCACATTTCTTCATTGTTTCCAGAATTTCATCTGTAATTGAAAGTGCAGTGTTACAACGGAGCTTACACAGAAATTGGCTATAAAAGGCAGTGCTAATCTATCTGCCAAACATAAGCTGTAAAGCAAAGATTATAAACTGTGTCCTCTTACTCTGTCAGACAGTAATTTTTACGCAAAGTAGTCTTCCACCAAGAACAAATAAAGTTAACAATTTACTGACTGAAGTTCTGTATTTTGGTATTATAGCAATGAACAGTTCAGTTATGAAGCTAATTTGTAGGAGGAACTGGAATTTATAGCACCTTCTCCTAAAAGCTGCCTAATCAGGTGTAAAAGAATAATCTTTCTTTTTGATACTACTTGATAACATATAGCCATTAAGCATTAGATCAGAAGGAGCAAGTCTGAATCTTTTCTCTACGTGTGTCAAAATGAAAGACATCACATTTCCAAGTAAAGGCTTTTGCCTTTTAAGTTTACATCACCATTCTCTTTCATGAGAAAGGGTTGGCCTGGCTTTGTTACGTAGTCCAGAAGATTTACAGTCACCTTTCAGACTTGGAATTGAAATCTTACAGAGCTGCTGGGCTCAGGACCTACATATTACCTTCTTCCAAGCTAGCTTAGGGCATTCTAGTTTTGGCAAATCTGCTTATATTTTTTGTTTAGCTCACTCAAGGCACAAGGCACGAATTCAGAAAAAGGATTCCAAGAAGCATCAGGTTACATAGAAGACCCTTTGTAGATTAGATACCCACACAAACTTGAAAGATGAGAAGCACAAGTGTCCACAGAGATGCCACAGTTTGTATGAGGAATACAGATACACTCTACCTACCTATAGCATTTCTGAAAAATGACCTAGAACACTTGTATGAATTTCAATACATGCTGTCAATCTTCCGTTAGTTGCTATCACCACTTGTTAGATTCAACTGATGTTATGTACTACTTTTTCTTGTTTACTGAAGTCTGATAACCTATAGAACATTGCTGTGATCAACGTTTTGATTAATACAGTGTTAAATCTCATTTGGCATATCTAAAGGTCCAAGGAAGGTGTTTACCTGGATTATTTTCTTTAATTGTGACCAAGTAGAATAATCCTCCTGGAGAAAGTAGGTCTGGTACTAATGGAAAAACTCTATCCATTACTTCTCTGCCCTTTTTGCCACCAGCCCAGGATGCCTCTATTCCATGGCTTTCCACCTAGGAAGAATGAACGCAAAGATTGTCTTCGTACAGAATGACAGAAGTGTCAGTGATAGTCATAAAGAGAAAGATCACAATAATCTCTACCTTTAGGTGTCTGCCATTAGAAATCTGACAACTTTGATACAGCAGATTGGTTTATGCAGGAAAATTACTTCAGAACTACTTCCTACATGATGAACATACTACTTTTGTTTGAAATTCTATTCTTAAACTGAATTACAAGTGCTACATTTTGTCACATGCTTTGTATGTATTTTCTTGTCATGTTTTATGAGCTTGTTTGCCAAACAGAAGGTGGCCAGTAAACCTTTTTAAGTGTTCCTGGGTCCATTTCTGAGAGTTTGCGGAAGAAGAGGATATTTATTTTGCATGGAACAAAAGCATTTCCATTGAAAGTCTTCTATAAGAATGCCTTAGCATGCCTAACAGAAATCTTACATCGTTTATACTTGATGGAGAAACTATGTATTGAGAAGCAGCAGCTAGCAATCCTTACTCCCATGTAGTCTTTATAAGCAAATCTAGTAAATCATTTTCACTAAAACAGTGCTGGTCCTACAACATCCTTTACCATTTAAAAAAAACCCTACAGTTTTCATACCAGAGCTTATTTGATTTGCTGCCTCTCCTCTGACAGTAGAAATACCATTTTTATTGTGTATTTCAAATTTTTCCTACCTCTTCAGAAGGTGTTGCCACATACGGTGGATTAAATAACAGTAGATCAACCTTCCCATTTAATCTTGGAGATAGTCCTTTGACCTATAGATGAAGTTGATGATTCTTTTGGTTTCTTTTTTTTTGAAACATAAAGAATGCAAACATTTTGTAAAAATACAGTTACATAGTGCTGGATAGTCTGAGCATTTCAGCCTGACTCAGGAACACTAAGCTTCACTTTCTACGTGCAAGAGAAGCATCAAGAAGTATTACCTGTGCATAGCACAACAATTTCAATAGTCTTAAGACTATGTTATGTATAGGATGTAGAAGAGCAAAAGACACATATGCAGACACAAAGGTAGTACTTTATTCTTGCTCAGTTCAGAATTTAAATTAGATATAGAAGAATTCTGAATTCATCATCGGATAACATTTGTTACCCAAAATGATCAGTCTGTGACAACTGCAGTTCAGTTCTCAAGTATGAGCAGTCATTCATTCATTTTAGATCACATTTATTCTTGCCTATCTTCACCATCTTTTATAAACATATATATATACAGGGTATTTTAAACAAATATCTTGCTAAAGAGATAAGAAACTTGATCTTTTCTCCATATCAAATTTTGTAAGAAAAAAAAGTAACAATGTACACAGTTCCTAATAACTCAGAAAGAGCTGAGAAGCAAGAACTGCATAGCATTACATGAAGGGCTAGGATAATGTCAGGTTGCTGCAGAGTTCCTTGTACAGCATTTTCCAAACTATATCTACATAATTTATTTTAAAAATAAATGCAATGAATTTTTAAAGCTTAAATTTGCATTTTAGAGCTTGAGTAGTTTGGTTTTCCCTTCTTTCAGAAACACTGGCATTTTGTTGTTTTTTCCATCTGTGCTTATTAAAAGAATGTTTGTTCTAGACTTTATGGGTTTTTTTCAGTATCTCTAATAAGTATTAAAAAATTACAAAAACTATAAAGAGGATATTATTGAAACTTCTATCTTACCAAGTCAGTAATGACTGGCTGAAGGTGAACATTGTTAAGCAGAGCTGTCTCCAGCGTACAGTAAGCTGCCATTGGGTTGATATCTGTACATCTAAAAGCAAAATATTACAAAGTGTAAGGTACTGGCTACTGTATCTGGAAGTTTAACCCTGTGTACCACACGCTAATTTATGTACTCTCAATGAAAATATCCTTTCCAGCATCCTTTACCTTGCAAGCAAATAGCAAAAAACAGACAGTAAAATATGCACACTGTATCAGCAGCTAAAGCAGTCAACACTGCACTGGAAGCTTTAATGACTGAAAGCTGAAATATCGGATTTCCTTTGCAATGCTAGCTCTGCATAAATATATATGCATACAAAACTCAGTTACTGCCAACACCCAGGTAACTAATGTTATGTCATCAGACCTCAGTAAGACTAGTCAGTGGCTAAAATTTAGGATTCAACCCAGCAAAAACAAGTGTAAGCTTAGCAATTTGTCTGAGAGGTAGGAAAATGGAATTTAGTCGCATGATTGTTACAGAACCTGAAGTAAATAGTTTAGGCTCTCTTTGCTTTGATTTCTATGTCTGTAGAATTGAGCTAGAATTTCTTTGTGAAAAGAATAGTTTTTAAAATGTGAAAATGAAAAGTATTTATGTGAGGGATAAGTATTCTTTATTATTGCATGCAACAGTTTAAATAAGTGCTATTATACTTACATGTACAGCGCACTGGATCCGATAATGGAAGATGCTAGAAATGTTGAGACCACACCAGATCCAGATCCTATTTCAAGGCAGATCTCAACTCTAAAGAGAGAAAAGTCCGGATGACTTTTATTTCTAACATGTAAGAGCACCTGCAACAGATGCAGAATTAAAGTATCATAGAGTCATAAAGGTTGGAAAAGACCTTTAAGATCATCAAGGCCAACCGTCAACCCAATACCACCATGCCCACTTAGCCATGTCCCGAAGTGCCACGTCTACACATTTTTTGAACACCTCCAGGGATGGCGACTCCACCACCTCCCTGGGCAGCCTGTTCCAATGTTTGACCACTCTCTCCCTAAAGAAATTTTTCCTTATATCTAATCTAAACTTCCCTTGGTGCAACTTGAGGCCATTTCGTCTCATCCTATCACTAGTTACTTGGGAGAAGAGACCAACACCCACCTCGCCACAACCCCTTCCAGGGAGTTGTAGAGAGATCTCCCCTCAGCCTCCTCTTCTCCAGACTGAACAACCCCAGTTCCCTCAGCCTCTCTTCGTAAGACTTGTGCTCCAGACCCCTCACCAGCTTTGTTGCCCTTCTCTGGACACGCTCCAGCACCTCAGCATCCTTCTTGTAGGGAGGGGCCCAAAACTGAACACGGGATTCGAGGTGCGGCCTCACCCGTGCCGAGTACAGAGGCACAATCACTTCCCTACTCCTGCTGGCCACATTATTTCTGATACAGGCCAGGACGCTGTTGGCCGCCTTGGCCACCTGGGCACACTGCTGGCTCATGTTCAGCCGGCTGTCCACCAGCACCCCCAGGTCCTTTTCCACCGGGCAGCTCTCCCAGCCACTCCTCCCCAAGCCTGTAGCGTTGCACGGGGTTGTTGTGACTGTCACGGCAGTGTTATGAAACCTGCTGCCAAAGCGCCCTTCTCCCACACAGGCTGAAATATTTGCTGGTGACACAGCCTTCAAAGGCCATGTCATGATGTTTCGTAATGGCTGCCAGGTCTACTTGTGCCTCTACAGGCAACTACTGCTGCTCACAGGCGACTTTGGGAAACGCACATTTCCCCGTGCCTAACGTTAACGTTTCCATTAACTACACAATCTCAACAGCACAGGCTACATTGCTACAGCATTATTGCACATTTATTGCACATTTATTGCAGCGAGACTGAACTCCAACAAGTCACGGCAGGTGACCGTGAAGCCACGCAACGAAAGCAGGGCTCAAAGGCAGAGTACCTCAGGAGAGCTGCGGCCAGCTCTGGGCAAACTGCAGTGGCAGGCAAGTTCAGTTACTCCTCAGATCAGCCCCTCGGGTGATTTCTGTGGCGGTTAGAGTCACCTAGACATACGAC